ATATACCCGGACCAAGTACAATCGCAGTTCAGCGACGTACCGAAGATGTACTCGACGGCGACGACATGGCAACCCTACAATTATGGAGAACCAATGGACGTTGACGCGGTTAAGTTCCAACCGCGTTTCCAACGAATGTCGCAAGCCGAGCGTGAAAGGCACATTAAGGAAGGACTGTGCTACAAGTGTCACAAGGCGGGGCATCTATCACGGGAGTGTCCGACAGCAGGGAATTCCGGAAGAGGCCGAGGAGGATGGAAAAGCCGAGGAAGAGGAGGAACGATGCGCGCAAGAATGCAGTTCTCTCAAGAAGGACTCAAGGAAATGCTAGAGGCTATGACCGACGAAGATAAAGGTCAAGCTCTAATGATGATACAGGAGGATTTTGGAACCGGTCTTTGAGGGCAGCCGCTCAAAGACCGGAAGGACGTTTTGCCTCGAGGAACCGATATGATGTATTAAAGGACGAGACAATGGAAGTTGGGATGATTCACCGGTTGAATGCTCCCTCCATTGAGATAAAAGGAACCGTCCAACGAGGCACGAAAAGGGCTGCTGCGAATGTTTTGATAGACTCCGGTGCGACGGGTCTAGTCATCAATCAGCAATTTGTGTTGAAAAACGCAATATGGTTTGATCGCGTTGATAAACCATTCAAGATGCAAGGATTTAACGAAGCAACGTATGTCTGCAAGTACAAGACGGACCTCATCCTGGAAATAGATGATGGTCAAGGCAACATACACAAGGAGAAGAACAGATTCTACGTCGGGGATATCGGGAATACCGACGTAGTCTTAGGAACGGACTGGCTGATTGAACACAACCCCGAAATTGATTGGAAACGGTACACCATCAAGATGACGAGGTGTCCGGAAGAATGCCGCACGAAACCGCCCATAACCATCCAAGCAAACCATGATCTCATACAAGACATCAAGGGAGCTTTGACAAGGGTTCGACGGTTAAGAACTGACAAGGAAGTCAAGAAGTACGAAGCACCAGTATCCATCCAAGAGGATGAAGATGACGAAGAAGAAATGATACAATACGCGATTGAAGAAATGAAGGTACGAAAAATGCAGGTGCTAACGATTAAAGAATTACAGGAACGAAACGACAGGAAGTACTCAAATATGGCGCAGAAATTGGCGCAAGAAGCGAGCAAAGACAAGAAGGAAAAGACCACGGAAGAAATGATACCCACGGAATACCACGAATATCTCGACGTTTTTGACAAGAAGAAATCGGAACGATTCCCAAAGCCGAAACCATGGGACCACGAGATTAACCTGAAGGAGTCATTCAAACCGAAATCGGCCAAGGCATACCCGCTATTCGGCATGGAACGGAATGAATTGGACAACTGGATTAAGGAACAGCTGGACAAAGGATACATACGGCCATCGAAATCACCGCAAGCATCGCCGTTCTTCTTTGTAGGGAAGAAAGACGGGAAGCTGCGGCCGACACAAGATTATCGATACCTGAACGAACACACGGTCAAGGATGCGTTTCCACTACCATTGATTCAAGAATTGGTAGACCGACTCAAGGATGCAAAGTACTATTCCAAGCTGGATCTACGCTGGGGATACAACAACATCCTGATCAAGGACGGAGACCAATGGAAAGCCGCATTCTCGACACCGAAGGGATTGTATGAACCGTTAGTCATGTACTTCGGTTTATGCAACTCGCCAGCAACATTCCAACGAATGATGAACGAACTATTTGAACCGCTGATAAACCAAGGAGTGGTAGCGGTATACCTGGACGATATTTTGGTATTCACGAAAACAAAGGACGAACACAAAGAAGTGATGAAGAAGGTCCTCAAGATACTTCAAGAACACGATCTCTTCGTTAAACCCGAAAAGTGCGAATTCGAGAAGGAAGAGATCGAGTATCTCGGACTTATCATCAAGCAAGGACATATCGCCATGGATCCTGTCAAGGTGAAGGGAATCATGGAATGGCCGGTACCGCAGAAGGTGAAACAAGTACAAGCGTTTCTCGGATTCTGCAACTTTTACCGACGATTCATTGAAGGATTTTCCAAGATTGCAAGACCACTGCATGAACTCACCAAGAAGGATAAAGAATGGAACTGGTCGGAGGAATGCCAGCAAGCATTTGAAGAATTAAAGAACCAATTCGTCAAGACACCAATGCTCGCTATGCCGGACCCCGACAGACCAATGAGGATAGAATGTGATGCGTCGGATTATGCCTATGGTGCAGTCCTCTCTCAACTGATGGATGACGACCTATGGCACCCCGTTGCATACATTTCAAAATCGCTCACACCAACGGAACGAAATTACGATGTCCACGACAAGGAACTGCTCGCGATAATCAATTCGCTGGAAGCATGGAGGCATTACCTAGAAGGATGCAAGTACAAGATTGAAATATGGACAGACCACAAGAACCTGGAGTACTTTCAGAAATCGCAGAAACTATCAAGAAGGCAAGCACGATGGGCGCAGTTTCTCACTAGGTTCGATTTTGAACTAGTGCACAAGCCCGGGAAGACGAACAAGGCCGACGAACTATCAAGACGAGAAGACCACAAGACAGGAGTAGAAGATGACAACAAGGATGTGATACTCCTACCGACGACGATGTTCAAGGCACGAATTATAGGAAGAAGACAGCACGATGACAAGCAGCGGATGATCATCAGGAAAATACGGATAAAGAACGAAGACGATGACTGGGAACAGCGCATCAGAAGAAACGACAAATACGACGAAGAAGTAACGAAAGCGATAGAAACGATCAAGGCCGCAGGATCAGAAAGCCTCGCAAAAGGCATGAAGGAATGGAACACCGAAGACGGTATAATCCTTTACAGAGGAAAGGTATACATACCGAAAGACGAAGAATTACGACGAGACATCGTGAAAGAATACCACGACTCAAAGATAGGAGGACACCCAGGAAGATACAAGACGATGGAACTAGTACAGCGGAACTACTGGTGGCCAGGGATGTCGATGTTTGTCAAGAAATACGTTGACGGATGTGCAACATGTCAAGAAACGAAAATCAGGAACAACCCGACCAAGGAACCGATACACCCGACGGAGATACCTGAGTACGCATTTCACACCATTAATATCGACTTTGTAACGGACT